CCCTCGGCCGAGCGCGATTACTGTCAGGCAGCTCGTTTACCTGCCCCGTAATTCAGGCTATTAATGCTCCTCGTCTAAAATTAAACGCCGTCGCGGCGGCGAATCGGACTATGGCTCTGCGGAGGAAAGCGGAGCCAAGGCGAAACGCAAAAACGAGAGAGCCGGTATTACAACGACGCGCGATTTAAACTGACGCCACGGGGCTCGCAGGCGACGCTGTAGGTCCGCAGTCTCCCTCTCTCGGCCGCGCGCCGATTTTCCGGCGAGTGCCGTTGGACGCCAGGCTTTTGTTCGGGCGCACCGATGCGCGCCGCTCGCGATACGCCGATACGATAGTGACGGTCGTGCGCGCGCTCGCCTCGAAAGTGTCGCGTCATAAGAATGAGAATGAGAAACGAGAGGAAAAAGCGAGGCGCGCGTACGAAAGCGATCGCCCCGAGCGCGTCAGCACAAACGGCTCTCGATCTACATCGTCCCTGCGTCTTTCTCATCGGCCCGTCGTCGCGCAACTCCACGGCGGATATCAGCAAAAAACCGTCGAACGCGAGAGTTGCATTTCCGCGACTCGCGTCGATGCTTATTCCGACGAATTTTTGTCGCAGGCCGGGGGTTCGTTGTTTCGCCGAAATCCGACTTGCCGGGAACGGGCAGGCGCGAGTGATTTCAAACGGAAGAAGCGAGCCGCGTGGTGAATGAACTTTGCGACCGAATGAGCTCGTAGTGCGCGGCGCGAAATGGCGAGAAGGCAGGGATCAGCGTGTATTGGAAAAAGGACCGTGGCGCGCCGTGGAGCGGAGCGCCAGATGTACGAGTTAGTTTAGACGACAAACGGCTGTTAATATGGCGAGAGGAGAGACGCGTCGCCGGCGCGCAGAATTCCACGAGGCCCGAGATCGTAGTTTCCGATTGGCCGGTCGGACAGGTTCGCTCTCCCCCGTGCCGTCTACGTAATAAATCGCTGCTGCGCGGCCACAGCGAAAAGCGCGCTTCCTATAATGCACATCTCCTCGCCCCGAGGCTGTGTGCACAAAAGCCTTTGGTAATTGGCTAATCGATCCGCCCCTCCTCGTCCCCCTCCTCGTTCATTTTCGCTGTGTGCGAAGTAGGTGAAACGATCAGAAAACTTCCGAAAGCGCAGTCTCGAGCCGGAGAACCAAACCCGTTTTGGAGCAAAAAGAATCGAATAGTCCCACAATGCTGCTGCTGCTGCTGCTGCTGCTGCTGCTGCTGCTGCTGCTGCTGCTCCTGCTGCTGCTGCTGCTTCTATTTCTACTTCTACTTCTTTTCCTTCTTACATGTTAATTAGCACAGTATTTTCTGCAGCTCGTTATTCCAGCTTGAAATATATGTGCCGCGCGTTTCATATGTCCCCCTCCCCCTTCTGCAATCTCTTCGTCTTCTCCTTTCCGCCAGAGCTAACTGTACGTGTGGGCTCTAATCGATTCGTTATTCCGTGGCTTTTTTTCCGAACATCGAACCTCTCAATGAGATTTACGCGCGAACCATTACTTTCGCCGTCGCAGGGTTGTACCGGATTAAATTATTGCCAGCTGATTGATAGTTCAATCGCTTCGCCTAGCGGCGCGAGCGAAGAAGAGGATTGCTCGATAGTAAGACTCAATCAAGTTGAAAAATTGGAGTGCTCGCGGACACGCGTATACGACGAAATCAAGACGTTCGATCAGCGAAAGAAAACGCCGGCGATGAATGTTCATTTCGCGTGAGCCCAGATCATAGACGGCGGGCGAGCGCCTTGTGAAAACGATCGATCTCGTTCGGCGCTAACGAGAAAATAAAAATAGATCGTAATAGCGAGCCACCACTCGTCGAAGCTTATCACGCATTAGCCTCCCTCTCGTCTATCGAGTTTCTCGCTCGCCTGCCCCGCTCGCCGATGTGTCATCGGATCTTTCTTATCCAGCGCGCCGTGATGGCGCGCTAAAATTTCCCGCGAGACTTCCTCGTACACGTCACGACAATTGACTCGGCTCTCGCGTGCCGCTGTGGCGCGAAAAGTGGAATGACCAGGCGCACTCGCATACCGCTCCGCGTGTGTCTACGCTCGTTCAGGAATTTTCACTGAAACTACGAGGAAAAGGCATGCCATTCCCTCTTTCGCGTTCGATCGATCCGATTGCTGTTTTGGGCGTCACGCGTGAAAAGTAGAAAGAGAGAGAGCGCGATGCAATTAATTTATACGATTGTCAGTGGCGATTATTTCGTCGGCGTTCGTTTTCTCGTGCACTTCGTCATGGAAACGCTTCCTTTTTTTCTTTTCTTTTTTTTTTTTTTTTAAGCTTGAAATTAATATTCGGGAGAAATTCCAACGCATCCACCTTGAATAATGCGGAACATGTTGTAAATGTCAAAATATAGCGTCAGTGTATACCGACAGTGCCGATTACGATCTACACACGCACAGTCTTCGAGTTAATCGTCTGAAAAATCAACGCCGAGCAAATTGAAGACGAGCGTTTGTCCGTTATGCGCGCGAAAAAAAATCGTTAGAACGGGCCCAAATATAGAGCTTCAAAATTTCGATGACGTCCAAATGGCGTCAGTCGCAATGATCGATGACCATTCCGAAGCGAAAAAGATCAAAACTCGCAATCACAATCGTTCCCAAAGAAAAAATAGAGCCTATCCAACTAAACTCAAAAGTTACATTCCGGCGCGCCAAAAGTCGAAAAAACATGGTCGAGCCCCCATAGACACAGCGTGTGACGTAGGCGATTGTCTTGTAGTCTCGCGCTGGGAAGAGGAGGACTTGATTTATGTCGGTGACGTTGTGGTGACGTACGGAAAGAAAAAAAATGTGTCGAGCGCTCACGGATTTAGACTAGAGAACACGACAGTAATATGAAAGGACATCAAGGGCGCCCCTTCGTCATTGCCGTAGGAGGAGCCAACTTATGTGCTATATGGCCAGTCGCTGGTTTTTGCAACAAAGCAGAGCCGCCCTTTTTTTAGAAGATTATCCGAAGCGGAGAGGCTGTCGTTCCTTTAGAAAATCAGCGCGATTCACGTTTTAGTTTCGCTGCGGCTTTTTTATTCGCTAGGGGTGCGATAAATGATATGACGCTTTAGTTTTTACTCTTTTTCTTGGGCGATCTCATTTTTTACGGGTCGTTTCATTCAATGCACTAATTACATGGCTGCTGTAATTTTTTTATTTTACAAATCAACGTCTCATTGTTCTTTTTCTTATTTGTAGGTGCAACGCGAATAAATTTTAGTCGAACATGTGTATACTTGAGATAACGATTACTTTCTGAACGTTAAGAACGTGTTTGAAGAATAAATCCTCTGGGTAGTTAATCAAATCCATTGTTTGATTATGAACAATTGCCAGTAGATTCTGGTGTGTACTTTCGTTGAACTCTCAATACTGGAACATATCCAATTAACAAAGCCAGTAGTCATCGCCATCAAGCTATTACCCAATCAAATGTCAAATATTAATACACATTTTACCCAGTGGACTTGCAACAGTAAGCCACGTGCAAATTCACCCGTGCGTGACTCTATTTCCGTAAAACACTCAAAACGCATCCCGCATTCGAGCGCTAATAGGCAAAAAGAGAAGTTTTTAAACAGCTGCTTTACGTCTCCCTCTCCTTTACGTGCACCCGCACTTTATTTCCGTAATGTTATGCATCAGCTATTTTCGTTTTCGAAGTTAACAAAAAATAATAAATTATATAATGTAAGTTGTTTAGACTGCCATGCAACAGCGGGTCACTTTATTCTTAGCGTTGTGCTTTTAAATAAATTTTGTCAGGCTGCTGAGAGAGAGAGAGAGAGAGAGAGAGAAGCAACATCTTAATCGCCGACGTCTTTTAACAGAGACCTCACAAGAGAGAGAAAGAGAAAGAGAGAGAGAGAGAGAGAGAGAGTACGAAGAGAGAAGAGGAGAGAGGCGAGAAATTTTGGGCGCCTTCATAATTACATGGGCGTGCGCGTGAGATGCACACCTTTAACGGCGGCGGCGTGCCGAGATGGCAATTAGTAGCACGCGAACACACACTTTTTTCTTTTTCTTTTTCTTTTTCTGGCTTGGCACCGCGCCTTGTTGCTGTTTTGCGCAGAAAATTCATTATTTTAATTATTTCCAGATTGCAGTTCACTTTAGCAGTAAATGATTGTCAACGAGGAATTTGAAATGACTGTTTGTGGCTGTCCGAGGGTCTACGCGATTGTTGCATTCGTCGGAATGAAAAGTGAAAGAGACGAACGGTTCCGAGCTAAGCATCTCCAGTTGCAACGACACAAAAATACTTTTCGATCGAGTAACCTCATTAATCACGCCAATAATCAAAGGTTAGCGTACTAAAACCACAGCAAAGTACCAATCGGGTGAATAAACTTCCAAGAATCTGTCAAAGCGTCGATAACGATATATCGAAATACTTGGTTTTATTGAAGATAGTCGACGCGCGAATTAGTGAGTCAATATATCTATTTATATATTCGATAACAGGCGGCGCTTCTAATTAAGCTTCGCGAGAAAATAGCACATAGACAAAAGTTTAATTTTGAAACGAGGTAGCGTGATTTGCGAAATGGATGTGTCGGCTTCTTTTAAATGCCTCAATAAACATCACTCGCTCGTCCGTTTGTCACGTCAAAAAGAGAGCTCTGCACCGCCGCTGATAGATAGCACGAGGTCCGCGGTAAGTGGTTTTATTTCTGTTTGAATTAAAAATCCTCGTAAATTCTGCCACGCACACGCACTGCGAGCAAACGTTAGGAGAGGAAAAAAGAAAATTTAATCTAAAAACGTGTAACACCTGCTTAATCTCTATCAACTGACGGCATGCTTTGTTTATTCCTTCGAGCTTCGAGTAGAGAGAACAGAGAAAAGCTTTTCTTCCTTCCCGTCCCCAGAACACATAAACTTTCACCATAATTAACGTCGCCTCTCGCGCGCACCGCCGACACCCTTGGGAATGAGAAGAGAATGACAAAGAAGAAAAAGAAGTCTTAAAAATAGCACTCACCGTACGTAAACCGTCCCAGCAAGCCGTATACTCTCGAATAAATTTTTCTCATATAACACTACGAATTTTTTTCGGGCGATATTTCTTTAAAAAAAAAAGAGAAAAACTGTCGTTGCCTTGTTTTGAGCACACTGTCACACTATCGTCACGCGCGCTCGCGGCTCACCGGCCAGAATGATACAATTCTCTCGGGCGCTAGTGCTTCTACTCTCAATAGAGCCGCTGCTGCTCCGCCAGTGGTGGTGGTGGCGGTGGCGGTGGTGGCGGTGGTGGTGGCGGCGGTGGTGGTGGCGGTGGTGGCGGTGGTGGTGGTGGTGGTGGCGGCGGCGTCGGCGGCGGTGGTGGTGGTGGCGGTGGTGGCGGCGGCGCGGACTTGCGCCCTCGCTCGCAGTAGGTCCTTTACCGTTGTGGGTCGTTCTCGCGTCGTCGCCGACTTGGATAACGATGTGGAGAATGCCGCTGCTGCTGCTGCTTCGCGCTGCCGAGCGCCACTACTCACGCGAGGGCCTCCGAGCATCGCGCGCTCGATGCCCGAGGTGATGGATTTGGCCGCGATCGTGTCGATTTTTTACCGTTCATCAAACGAATCGTTGCGACTTGACGATGCGCCTGCTGTCTTGCGATTAGTCCTTTGTGCACGGCAGTCCTTTGTGCGCGAATCACAAGTCGCAATGATCTTTAAGCTTCAACTTGCTCGCGGTGTGACAAGTGATTTCAGGATACATTTCCGATAATTTCGAGGAGTTTTCTGCACGATGTACTGACATTGAATGTTTTATCGCACGAGCAGTTAAGACGCACGTATATATTTATTGATGTAAAACACTATTCGCCGATTCCGAGATAAAGCGTGGCAAAAAAAGAAAATGACAGCGCTGATAACAGTAGACGAAAGTGATTCTTTATCTATGATCGCCACTTTTCCCCAAATCCAATTTGGCGAAAAACACGAAATCACACACACACCCTGAGCTTCACTACTACGCAGGATAAATTGTTTTTTTTTTCCTTGGTATAACGAAGAAAAAAAACTGATGATCGTCGTCGAATGGGGATGAAAAAACAAACACATTCCCAGCCACTCAGGCCGAATGGTCTTGGCTCTGTCTGGTCGTTTTCACTTTCTCCGGTACACGTGGTCGTCGATTTGCTGTGCGCCGGGCGTAATGCCCACGTCCGTGTGGATCGGCGCTGCGTTAAACTGCTCAGTGACGGCGATGAACCGTGCGCGTACGAATCTCGAGTCGCACTGGCGCGCCGTCGGAGCAGTGGAATTCGGCCTCCTCCTCTCTCTCTCTCTCTCTCTCTCTCTCTCTCTCTCTCTCTCTCTCTCTCTCACTCACTCTCTCCTTCCTCGTGAGCGTATGTATGCGTGTGTGTCGGCGGACGCCCGAGAGCGCAAAGCTAAGCGAGCGCAGCAGCGCGCCGCGCGCGCTATGCTACTTGATTTTGCGCCAACCGGCGTTTTTCGCCTAAGCGCTGCTGCCGCTGTCGCTTTTCTTTTTTTTTTTCTTTTTTCGCACGCTCCGAAGTATCTACATCTCCGATCCACGAAAGACCGTCTAGACGCCCAGAGGGAGTGGACGACGACTTTGGCTTATAAGACTTTTCTGTTCTTTTTCTTTTTGTGCGCGAAGAAAGCACGATGGGGTTTAACGTTAATGTAGATCTCGCGCGCGCTATGCGATGTTCTTTTTTACGTGACTCGGATAACTGCGAGGCGCTCTTTTTTTGTGCTTGAGTTTTCCTCGATTTAGGTGAGAAGCTATGTCGATGTTCCCGACCAGAATTTAAGTTAGTTAAATTTAATTTGCGGTTAAATTGCGATGGATCGACGATTTTATCAACTGCAAATCAACAATTTAGAATTAACAATGACGATTTTTATACATTTAATGTCAACGTAAAATCTTTTTATTCACAATTGCATAAGTGCTTAGAAAACGATGGTTCGTAAGCGATCGTCGTTTGACGTTTAACAATCGAACAACGAACCAATCTCCAAAATTCTGCGCACAATGCTTGTTCTATTTCTTCCGTCGGCGAATTTCATCCGAACTAACGTGAATATTCGAAATACCCATATTGTTCACCAAAATTTCCTCGAAAATTCCGTACAATATGTCTTGGAAAACTCATGAACAGCGTGAATTATGAATTCACTTGTGGAGTAGCTTCGCGGCCGTTGGATCACACGCACCGTATTACACACGCGCCAGCAGCATATTTTCCCGATAAAGTATAATAGAGGTGAGCGCGACATGTACAAGATTACACCTGCTCCGCGTACGACGCGAGGGAGTGAACTGAAAGAGAGCTTGACTTGCACGCTCACTTACACAGGCAGAGAGAGGGAGATTCGAAAGAGGATGCTATTACCACCACCATCACACCACGACTACAGAGTACTAGTCGAGCTACCAGTTGTCTTCGGCGGACAATCCGCATTTTCATCGCCGGTGTACATATCAATGAGATATACATGCTATACGTGTAGCGTTTGCTTCACGGCGTTCGATTAGACGAAAAGGTAGATGATGATTGCGTAGGTGTTACGACGGAAAAAAAATTTCTCTTTGCTTTAGGAACGTAACTTCTCAGCGTGATGGTTTTCCGGATCACAACGTCGACTTTGTGATTTGCAAATGGTACTGACGATTCATTAATTTATCAAAATTAAGCAAAAGCAATAGGGTCAATCTGGTCTTTTCAAAAGCGACCGTTTCACTTAATCACCGTCAGTAACAAGTGCGATTTCCACGCTCTCCGACGAAAAAAGAAAAGCACTCGCCATAAATAACCATCGCAGGATAGAAAATTCGCGCGCGCGTGCTTATGATGGCGATATCACGCGCGCGACTTTCACGAAGCGAATCGATGGCTCGGTCGCGATGTGAGAAAAACTCGTTTCTCGGGCCGAGAGTTTCCTTGCGCTTTCTTTTGTTTCACGGAGCGCTGCGGATTGCGGAAAACTCGAGTTTACTCGCGGAATTAATGAGTCGTAGGTAAAGGCGATAATTGTATGCTATTAGCACGACGGCTGATGTGTTTGGCGTGCCGACGGCTTGCGCTCTTTGTTTATTCTAATGCGGGTTAACCGTTACGTTTATTAATCATGCTGATTAGCCGTTGATGAATTGATTTTGAGTTTATTATTTTTTTTTTTTTTTGGTTGGATATTTGTTTGACTTTTTACGAACTGAACTATCATTGTCGTACATTCCTTTTATTAATAATTTTATAAATTAGCCAGTATCTGCACTTTTAAAAATAATAAATGTCAAGACTACTTCATTCAGTTTTCAATTAGCAGTCTGAAGAGTTCCCGTGTTTTGTCAAACGAATGAAATGCTGGCATTTTGACAATTCGAATACTTTAGATTATTAGAAGATCAGTGAAGATATAATTTATACAATGGGCAATACATGTCATGCATCTAGTTTTCTTTTATGTTATCAAATATTTTATAACGATAATAACGAGAAGCGAGACGGACGTCAAAAGCGAATTTGATAAACAGTTAAAAGCGCCTGAATCATAATTTTATACAATAAAAAGAACCTTAAAAATTATTAGAAATATTAATATCGTTATTGGGCATTGAAAAATAAAAAGTTGTGAAGATATTTTTTTCCGCGTTTTCATCTCATAACTTGTATGATTGAAGCGAAAATGGCTTGGCTATTAGGAAAAACTTATGATAAGTAATCGAAAAACATACCGAATGGGTAAAAGTCTGAAAAATGTCATAACTTTCAATGTCTACATATAACATAGTAGCATTAAAAGAATTCGAAACCCATCAGCATCACACGACGCCTACGACTATGAGGATTATTGATAAGCAACCCCTCCACGAATACGATAGCCATGCGGATGTTTTCCAAATGTTGAAAGCTTCCGAAGCCTCCAACAATGGACACAGTATACAACTTAAGTCGCCCAACGAAGCTCTCTTGGTAAAATGCCGAGACGAAAAGTGCAGAAGAAAGAAAAAAAAAAGAATTGGCACTCGGCGCGAGGTATAAAGTGCACGGCTGGCGGGTAGGTGGTCAATCGCGCGGCTGGTTTATAATGCGCGGCGTGACGGGTGTCGAGTTGCTCTCGGCGTCGCGTGACATCGATAGTCCGAAACATCCGGTGCGCACGTTTATGCGCGCGAAGCTGAAGGAATCGTTTTGTATTGATATTCGATGAGAGGCGCGTCGTTTATCGGCGCCGACGACGCCGTAGAATTGCAAATCATTACGGCCTCGCACCACACTTATAAGCATTTGCTTCGTTCCCTCGCTGTAGTTTCTCTTTCTATACGTAGTCTCTGGCTTGATTTGCCGTCGATTTATTCGTCCTCCTTTCCATGATTCTTTCGAATGCACCTTAAATTTGCAAATAAGCTTTTTTTTTTCAAGCTCCAACGATAAAATAAGGCCGAAGTGAAAGGTCGAACCGTGCATTTATGGCTGAGAAAAAAATATTGTGAGAAGCGAAGTCAAGAAAAAAAAGTTCGCTGCGATGAACGCGCCTCAAATACGGCACGTGCGCGCGCGCGCGCATGTGTGTGTGTCTGTGTATGTGTGGTGCTCGATAACAGCAGAGCTCTCAGGTGGAATTTCGTTTCTTCATTAACATGACTCCACCCGCACAATCGGCCGACCCGACTTATATATATAATTATTATACTAATGGTGTGTCACTCACCTACCCGCTTCGCTCGCTAACCCCCGCGTATAAATATGGAAACGTATCATTATTAATTTTGTCTTGATATACCAAATGATATATAAAATAATGAATTTACAAAAATTATATTGACGCTGTTGATATTCTCAAAAACGCATTATAGATTAATTAAATAAAATTTTCTATACAAGTTATTTTAATCCTATAAAAAGTCATTAGTACCCGAGTAAGATTTGGCATTTATTAACGTTATCATAATAACGTTATCATAATTGGTAATGGTATCATAGAATTTGACAATGATACCAGTTGTAATTGGTATTTATATTATTTTTCGATACTCCGTGCGTAAAGTGTGTCTTTCCCGCACGTTCGGCAGAAAATGTGCGTTGAAAATCGCACTTTTCACACGTCGTATCAAAAAATACGGTACGGCACTTGTTCGGGAAAGAGTTTATCGTCTCGTGTACCTTTCTACCCTCGCTTCGCTCAGGCGTAAACGATTGATTTTGGTTCGGCCCGAAAATATTTCGGTACTCAATAATTATAAGAAATTTGACACCGGAAGGCGTATTTGTGTGGTATTCAGTTATGTTTGAATGAAGATGTGAGTTTAGTTATGTGTGTTTATGTTAATATAATATTTGGATGCGTATGTAACTGATAAGCACCATATAACTGTATACTTTCACACCAAATAACACAACTCATTATAGAATAAGTGGTTGTTATTGAAATATAAAGGGGCAAATGCTGGGGCAAAATGTGGTTACAAGGGGCAGAAAGAGACAAAAAGGTGTGAGATTGAATGATCAACAAATCTTTATGCCTATATATATAGTTATATATATACATATACTCTCCATTTTGCCAAGCTTCACTATGAGAGCTACGGTAGTTTTGCATATGCGAATCTTCAGCTTTTCGAGATGTGATTTATTTATCGAATTGATAATGTTTATAACTCCGGTTGTTCATCCGTAGATTTTTTTAGAGCTCGCTTATCTCCCTCTCAATGTCCACAGGCATAAATGCACTGTTGGAATTATACTTTATTTTGACGTGACTTTATCGCTGATATATAGGCAATTCCTAAAAACTTTATATTCATAGGTATGTATTACATATGGAGAAAGACAGAGAGCTGAGTAATATTTTCGGTACTATTATACTATTGATGAAAAAAAGGTTGTAGCTGGTGGAGCATTGTATAAAGAATTAAGCACAGCTATTCTATCAATTCTTACACTAATTTCTATGGTTCTGAACAAATTTCAAAAGTGTGCTCCAAAGATTGGCCTATTCTATTTTTTTTTTGCCGAAAAATCAAAAGTTTTTAGGATTTGCCTATATCTTAATAATTTCATTCATAACTTTCTATGTGTATTGAAAGACTAGTTTTCAAATGAAACTTACTTTTTTTAAATGTTGTGCGAAAACTCCAAAAACATTGCGTGAGTTCTAGCAGCCGAACGCTCTACAACTGACATTGAAAACAGATTGTAATCAGAAATTGATTTCTTATCAG